ATGTATCAAAATATAAATTCGAACGGAAACTTACGAGACGGTCCATGCACCGCCTGCCACAATTTTATTACATGCCCGACATTTCCAAATGCCTACTGCTTTTCTTTTGACTGTTTCCTATTGAACATTAATAAATAAATTTGATTAACATCATACGGATTATTATGACTAGATAATTTGTTATCTCGCACATAAATAATATTATTACTTTGCCACAAAAAGCGCATGTATATTTTGCATGTTGAGTAATTTCCATCTTTTTGATTTGTTTTCTCAATGAAGCACCATAACGGGTACCATATTTGCCGACAACTCCGACCTGTTAATGATGAATTTTCTTGGTATTAGTTAAATAAAGGTTTCCCAATACTATTCATCCAAACATTAGTTAATAAGCATTTTGATAATTAACCTTTTTTGTACGCTTGGCCTGTTACGAAAAAAGATAATAATGAATGTAAGTATTTAAAGTAAAAAAAATTCTTAATTATACGGACTTAACAGCTTAATATATAGTCGTCTTCAATGTTTTAAATCAAATGTTCTCAAGAATATAACCATTTTTTGATAAAAATTTCTATTTTAATTATAATCGAATTTTTTCTTTTCTTTATTATTGAGAACATAAAAATTTTTTGAGATCACAAAATTAAGCCTTGATGTTCCGCTGAGCGAAAATATTGGATTTAATTAAAAACTTTTTAATTTACCATTTGGATGATCGGTAAACTTAAACGCGAAGGATGATAAATTTTTTTAAAGATGAAAATTTTTTATATATTTTTTTTAGCCAATCAGAATGTCGTTCACCACATTGTGAAATTTTTTATATCGATATGGTGCTGGCCGCGGTCATTGGCTGAATTGGGCAAAATAATTTATTGGCCGAAATGCATATAGAACAGCTAGCAATATGATTGGTTAATGTTATAAACTTTTGGCCGAATTTTGGATACTGGCCATTGGCCGTTGCCTATTTTGGCCGCCAAAGGCCAAAAAAAAACACTGGTCTATACCGACACTACGTAGACAATAAAAAGAGTATACGTACGTAGCTTTAAAATGCATAAACTTATTACGAAGAACAAACTTTGCTTTTTGTAAAAAATTATAGCATTTTAAAAGTTTATTTAAAATTAAAACATATAGTTGAAATTACGTATATATATATAACAATACGTAGTGCTGGTAATCTTTAAAATACATCAACTTATAAAACTATAGATTCAAAATTTTATTAAGTAACCCCTATTGTATAACTAATAAAAAATATTTGTTACACGATTTTAATCCTAACCCAACTAAAACCCTAACCCTAACCCTAACATAAAATAATGTTAGTGTAGGCATATATGAGTGTTGTCAAAAGAAAGCCTACAACTCTAAAAATAGATTACTATGATTTTCATAATTATCTATTTTTAGAGTTGTAGATTTTCTTTTGACAACACTCATATAATATAGCAAATATATAGTGTCTTTTATGTCAACAAAAGTTCATTGATTCTTTCATACAACTTGTGAACATTCGGGTGACGAATGATTGGCCCGGATAACTCACGTATTTATGCGTTTTTGCTAGTTAGATGCTTTAATTAGTTGGGGTTTATTAGTAATAAATATCACTTTACGCGTATCTATCTATTCTTTATGAAGTTTTGTTCATTTTCTAGTATATAGTATTAAAATGAGAAGATATACCGACACAGCAGACACGGCACATACGTGACTAATTCCAACGCCAATTAGTTTGCCTGGTGCGTTAAGTCACGTGTATGTTGTGTCGGGTATATATTTAAGTCTTTTTAAAAAATTATGTATTCTGATATTGAATCATATGAATTTCTTCCTATGAGTGACGAACATCAATCAACAAAACGAACACGTCTTGATAATTTCAACTCAACAATGAGTAGCTTCCCGGCTTCTTCTTCTGGTGCATTATTCGAAACATCAAAGCAAGTTTCAAAGAATTATGTTCCTGCAGAAATCAGGAAAGATCTATTCTTTCCTTCACATAAGCCGATAAACGATAAACCAATTGGTGATCTACACAATGAGACAAAGAAACCCATAAAAAAATTGGTGATTAGGACTTTAAAAGGTATGTCCCTCGGATAATTTATTGCAATTTTGTCTATTAAAATATTAAAATTTGCATTCGTTCTTTATTTAGTTCAACCAAAATTACCTGATAATTTTGAAGAGATTACATGGGCTAAACTCCAAGCAGCTATCCGTGCAATTCATAACTATCAGCCTGTTAATGATAGTCTTGAGGAACTCTATAAAGCATGTGAAAATCTTTGTTTGCACAAAATGGCTGACAGACTTTATTCAAGACTTCAAGAGGAATGCGAATCACATCTTGTTAAAGAAAAAGAAAAACTTGACTGGTAAATATATGATTTCTAATTTCTTTATTATCGATCTGTATTTTTTTTTTCTTTTCATTTGTATAAATTTACGCCAAATCTAAAAAAACCAGCCATTTTCAAACGTATAGTGACAATTCTGATGATGAGGCTTTCCTTCAAGTGGTTGATCGATGTTGGCAAGCACATTGTGAACAAATGGTAGTTTATTAAATGCGTAATTCATTCAGTTTCCATAGTATGGCATTCAGATTGTTG